TAGATAAGTGATGCATTAATACTTAATTTATGCAGCAAAGTTTTAGTTGCTTTTCATTAAAAAAACTTGGATTTTTTTAAGCCAATAGCATAACAATAAAAGGGGCTCTTAACCTTATATCTGAAGAGCCTTAATTTCAGATCAAGTGGTCAAAGAGCTGTAAGCACAGTCTTGAGCCACAATAAAACAATTCTCAAGTGGTGTTGCACTGCCCTTGCAGTCTCGGAGCTGCAAGAAAGTATCATAGATAATCAGAGTCAAATAGTTATGATTGGTTATAATAACTAAGCCATAGTTATACGAGTATAAAGCTGGCCTACAGTCATATGGCGAGCTATAGCGAAACCAAAGTGAAGAATAAACTTTATAGCTAATTTATTTTATATCTCTAAATAATTTTTCATTACAAAATCATTAGCACATAGTTTTCATTACAATTTAATAAATTTCCCATTACTTCATAATTTGTTCAAAATTACTATATTTTCCAATTAATAGTATTATGTTTGACTGACGTAACAGAATCCCGTGATCTCGCAATAATGCAGGCTACATCACTTCGTTGACTAGCCAGTCAGATATGCAATATAATAAGAGTGATGGAAAAGTTTATGCGAAAATTAATAAGAGTAGAATAGAAGTACTTTTAATTTAGTAGATCTTTATTATCAGATTGATAACATACTTGCATCTGATATAAACTCTTGGTCTAATAAAACTTCCAAAGAGATATATAGCATAACTTCATAAATATAACCTCTGCATTTCTTCATAAATATAACCTCTGCATTTCTTTTTCTAGACTACCTAAATTTTCAGTGTGTTAAAATTCCACAAAGTATTAATCTGTTTATATATTGAGTCTACCTTACGTGTATTTCATGAGACTATAAATTTGTATAAATATATTAGTTCCATATATATTTAATAAAATGTACAAATAATGATTGCACAAAAATTTTTTATATTTATTATAAATGTTCGCAACCAGATTGCGAGCTAAGCTTTCAATTCTTTTAACACTGTCTAGTCTATCGAATGTAATGCAATCGCTAATAACCTTTTCTATTCTTTGATTGTAACTATACTTCATATTCGTTATAATATATATATTTTCACAATTAGCATATCGATACCTTTATTCAATTCTTAAATTTAATAAAATCGTATTTTATACTTACTTAATCGACATTTTCATATAATACCATTATGATATCGATATAGAAAAAGATGCTTGTTCTACCGACATATGGATATATCGACAAAATTTTTATTGCTAGAGGGTGTCGGTATAACCAGAGTGACGTATATATGTTTTATACTATATACTATGCTATATACCATACTATATACTATATCTATATTCTACCAGTATATACTGTATACTTACAAATAGGAAAAAAAAATTTTTGCAAATCGTTAAAATAAGATAGACATTGACTAAAACATATCTTTTAGTCATTTTATGAACACTCCATCCTACTGTAAAACCACGAAATAACGAGCATGGGCGTTATTTCGAAAATCGGGTCCTTTAAAAATGACATTTATGATTTCAAAATAGCGCCCATGGGCGTCCCGAAATAACACGCATCTCATATATATAATGGTAGTACAGGTTGCCCTGTTAATATC